AGCAAGTATTAGATATTGGGGGGCTGCTATGTGTATGGCTGGGAGATAAAAGTGGCTGCTATGTGTATGGCTGGCAGATAAAAACCACCTTAGATGAGAAAGATGTTGCTTATTAAAATTAAATAAAATGCTTTTATGATTTCCTTTTTTATTTTCTCCAAACTCCTTGGCCATGCATTTTAGATTCTTTCACCACTTTATTTCTTTGGCTTTGGTGCTGCTTATGACATTTTTCCGCTATTTGCCCATAGCTGTTCCTTCAGGATCACAAACTGAAGATACAGGCAGTTAGCACTGACGGACGGACTATGGCCATGGCCCTGGTCCTGGATTTCCTGCTAATTTTTCATCCAGGATAACAGGGACCGCTGTGGGTTATTGCATGGTGAGGACCATGACCTCCAACCTCTTGGCAGGCTGGTAGCTTGGATCCTCTGCAGTCGCCCTCTCACCCATAAGTAATATGTGTGTTTCAATACCAGGTTTAAGCAACATAGTTGCCAACTAAACAGAAGATGTTTCATCCTATTACTGGAACCTGGGCATCATTACATCAGTTGCTTGAAAATCCTTCTTTCTAGCAGAGACCCAAGCATTGAGGGTGTTTTAAACCAATTTTCATGGTTTTAGTAGCAGTAACTAGAGATAGTTTTAATAGTGATCTTTCATATTAAAATGGTCTGTATAGTAATGACATTTTAAATTTGAATGCATATTTTTATATATTAGATCATTGCACACTTATTTTCTATTTAGCTTGTTTGTGGGAGGTTGTATTTAAAATGATTAATGTTATTGAGTTATATGATATGATTATATTGATTATACTGATTAAGGCACTAGATGATTGAGGTATTAGAGTTAGAAAAATCCTGGTTCTAGGGAGAGATACTGAAAGTTATTTAACTTCTCAAGAGCTCAGATTCCTCACCCTTGATTAGGCTTGTCAAAAGAGAGGAGCATATGAATATGGAGGGAGGATTCCTTGACTGCTTTTTCCAGAACATCCACACCTCCCATCTTGCTACTCTCTATCCTATTAGGTTCTTTTTTCTTTATAGCCAATATGACCTTCTATGATTACTATTTTATGACATAAAGACAATGTAAGCTCCTTGAGGGCAGACATGTATACCGCTTGGTCTGTTGATGACTCCCTATCTCTGACAACCACATTGGTATATGGCAGATGCTCAATAATTATTTATTGAATGAGTGAATAATGTTTCCAAATACTTAGCATAGTATCCACTACATAGTAAAACTCAATAAATAGTCATTATAATTACTAGATATGATGTGATGAGCTGCCAATGAGAATTTAAGTGTTATTAATATATTATCTTGTTCCTTAAATTAAGGCTTGAGTGGGTCTTTTGGGTTTTTGCTGTCTGTCCTGCACAGCTTCACTACAAGATCTCTTCTGGTCATCAAGTCGGCTGTGCTAACAATTCCCAGATCTACATTTCTGCTCTGGAATCCTGCTCTGGAATCCCACTTACGGCATGTAGGCACCTCGTGCTCAACCTGTTTCCCAAACCTGCTCATCCTGAGCTGCTTTTTTCAAATAAGGGCATCCTGTACTTACCCTGATGCTCAAATTAGAAACTTCGGAGCAACGCTGATCATTCCCTGTATCTGACCTGTTCTCAATTTCTCCCTCTGTTTTCCCCATTTGCCTAGCTTAGACTCTCATTGTCTCTCATCTGAGCTTTTACAGTTACTAATAAAATGGTTCAGTTTTTATTGAGCACAGGAACTTCTATGCATGTGACTAGATAAAAGCCCAGGAGTTGGATGGTACTCATGTTTTGCTATTATCATTTTATAGGTGAAGAAAAAACAAAGTTCAGAGAGATTAAACAGTTCCCCAAATTCGCACAGCTGCTAAATGTTGGAGCCAGGATTTGGACTGAAATTGGTCTGATTCTAGAGCCTTCAATAATCTTTTAAAACTTCCTAATTGCAATGAGATTTCCCTTTTTCTACCCTTGTCCCAATCTACTCTGTTTTCTTCTTACCTCTGAGTGATCTTTTCATTGTTCTTCAAGAATCATCTTACACCTCACCTCTTATTTTCTTTCTAAATTCTGTAGTGGTAGAAGTAGATGCTTCTCCTGGGACTCCACTGCACTCTGCACATGTCAACCTTGGCCATTATTATTTTGGATTATTATTTTGCATTTTAATTATCAGTGCACACACCCATGAGAACAGAAGCTTCACCTAATTAAGGATTGCATGTATGATACCTGTACTCGATAGGAGCTAGGTAAAGTTTTGTTCAATGATCGCCTCTATAAATACTATTTATTGAGGAGTTTAATACTCGCTCATTTATTTCTAAAGGAATGCTACTAATTTTTTTTCCACAAAAATGTATAATTAGCATTTTAGAATACCTCCTTTTTAAGTGAAACCCCTCTCTCCTTTGGTTTTCTACTAGCAACATAGGAAGATTTTAATAAGCAATCTTTCCATTTGTGTCCCCCAACTTCCATGTCCTATTTGGTATCTGGTGACTTCTGGTTACACAAATATCTTTGTTCTTTCAGTCTATTTTTTTAGGCCACCCTATAGGCCTACATTCTATTTTCCTGAATCTTGCTTTCTGCTAGGCAACAGGTATAGTATCAACACAAGTGTTTCATTCTTCACTTACAGCTTGAATTTAAATCCCATTTTTCATCTTCTATGACCAGTGATGGGAATTTCAGGTCCTAGATATGGGGGAGATATTTTTGGGCAGTGGTATCTTGGAATTTTCTTCAAATCACACCCTGTTATGTATTTGGAGAAAGCTTTACATATCTCTTTCTTGTAATCATTCTTCTAAAATTGGTAAAAAGTCTTTTGCAGCCGATGAAACTATGGTGTGACTGATGAATTATAAATAGGAAAGTGTTAATCTCTGCCAAGATATTTGAATCTGAATTGTACAAATTTCTGTCACTATCTTCTTTGGGAGAAGATAAGATTTTATTTTTGGGCAGATACACTGAAGGCTTATCTCATATATCTCTAGAGTTTGAAAGTATATGTCTAAGAAAGAAAAAATAATATTGTCAGGTTCTGATATCAGAACTCTAACAATATGTTTTAACTTACTAATTTCAAAGCACTCATGATAAAACAAATACCATGTAAACATGTGTTAATGTGGACATACCCTTATAGTATCTGAGAAGTATAATCAATTTTTGAATTGTTTTAATATATATGCTAAGGAAAATGTAAAATATCTAGTATATTATTAGGCTAAAATGATCTGAAAGCTATTTTAACAGTTACTAACATAAAACACATACTACCACATAGAATTCTTGAAAAGATAGCAGTTTAAGTTCTCTGTTCCAAAGTAAAAAATTTCAGAATTCCCTCAACCAACATTAAATGCCAAGGTGTTTTTTATCCACTTCCTAATGAAAACATTTTGGAGGAATTACAAAATGAGTCCAAGCTTGTTACAGAGAAAAAGAATAATGAATACCTTAGTAATGGTATGTAATAAAGCACACACTGTGTGTGGCTCAGTCAAATCAACTAGTCCCACCCCTTTATTTGATAGATGAGGAGAATAAGACCTACTGGTACTAAAGGTACAATGACATCAGGTGAGTGAACAGACACTAATTCAGTTGCTTTGTATCTCAGTCCAAAGCCTTTTGTTTCATTTTACCATGAGCAACCTTGTTTACCCAACATGAGGTGAAGGTGCTAGGATAACTAAACAAAGGGACCGTATTTGGGACGTAAGATCAGTATATAACCAAAACTGAAAGTTCTAGACTGATCCTGGATTGGAACTCAAATATTCACCCACTGAAGGGGAAAGAAAAGTAGTAAAGAATGCTGATTATTCCAGTTCCATTTTTTAGTTATATCAGAGGCTGATTTAGTACAATTTGAATGATAAGGGCTCAAGGACTTCTGAAACTGTTCAATCATGTGTAGTATTACCGTGTATGCATAAGACTCCCTACATGTATATCTAAAAATATATTTATTCCCTGTCAGAGTGAGATGAAACTATTTAAAACATGTGGAAACATTTTTTTGCTTATATACTGATCTTACGTCATGAAAACAGTCCCTTTGTTTAGCTAGGGATCATCATCAACTTTAGATCTCTAAGATGTCAATCTGCATTTTTATATTGGTATTTTTAAGAGAAAATAAAATACAGTGAGCTACTTAAAATTGGACCACTGCGGTAACACTTTCTACTTTAGCTAGAATCTGCATTAATTAGTGATACTTCTTCACAAAAATATTTCTTGAGTACTTTCTCAGAAATAAACCCTCAAGTATTTATTCTGTGTTATAATAGCCCTTTGCTGATTGAGAAGAATTGCAGTTGATGTTTATTTTCATGTCATACAGCATGGGTTTATAGACGTCTTAAAATAGTCATGTTATTTTAGTCAAATCTGAGACCTGAGAAACACTTTTCATAGTAAAATTAAAAATCTTGAACAATATTGTCCTTGAGTTAATTCTTTGGCAAAATGATATTAAATATTCTATGTATTTTGTTCTTCATCAAAAACAGAATATTTATCCATCTGTGTGTAATGTTTATACGCTATGCTATATGCTAAACAAACAAGTCAAGTAGCTATGACTTGCTTCCTCTGGAATCTCCTAACAAACTCTAAGAAACTGCTATGAGAGGATGGGCAAAAAATAGTCTTTTGCTGGAAAAATAACTTCATTGTGTCTTTGAAAAAAAAAAGCATAGATTTATTTTTAATTTTTAATTTTTTATTGACATATAATGTATTATTAGCCCCAGGGGTACAGGTCTGTGAATCGCCAGGTTTACACACTTCACAGCACTCAACCATAGCACATACCCTCCCCAGTGTCCATAACCCAACCACCCTCTCCCGCCCCCCCTCCCCCCAAGGAACCCTCAGTTTGTTTTGTGAGATTAAGAGTCTCTTATGGTTTGTCTCCCTCCCCATCCCATCTTGTTTCCTTTTTGCCTTCCTTACCCCCCAAACCCCCACATTGCCTCTCAAATTCTTTGTATCAGGGAGATCATATGATAATCATAAAAGCATGGATTTATAAGACTTTAGTTTATATTTAGATTTATTGATTATCAGGACCATGATAAATTCACATTGTGAGGAAACAATACTTAAAATATAGGAACTAAGTTTTCTATCCTTATATCAATATACAAATAAATGAAGAATTTTATACATTATTAATAGCTTAGAATCATCAGCAATTTTTCACATGTAGAAGATATATATGATATAGAAGTTTAATTATGAATATAATAGGAAAATTTCACAGCTAAAATATCTCTCAAGACACAACTTTTTATATTACTCATAATATTAGACCATTGATTGTACTTCATATACTGTTTGTCTACTAACTGAAGTTATTACAAGCACTCCATCTGTACAATACACTCATGCTAGAGATAGCTCATATAGCTACAGTTTTTAAAGAACTGATCTGTGCATTATGACAACAAAATTTCACTAATAAGAAACCATCATTATTGACTACTGTAGTAAAAACTTCATAATATTGGTGTTATGAAGGCCTTCATTTTTTCTATATGTTACATGAGCTACATAGGCAAGCCATAAACTGTGTTTTTCATGTTATAACTGTTCAAGAGTCCATCCCTTTGGGGATCTATTTTTCTTTGAGAATGAGAAGAAATTAATATGCAATTTGATTTCTTCTATTTCATTCCTCTTCTATTTCTGATTGTATGTGTGTGTGTGTGTGTGTGTGTGTGTGTGTGTGTGTTAATTAAAGAAACAAAGCCAGCACTTTCAATACACTGTTTTCAATTTATACTTTTGAGTGATAGTTAGGAATTGTTGTTGGACGGAATAGTCTTCAAAAGTCTCTGGTACATTTCTGACTTTAGAAATCTGGGATAGGAATCCCTTTCCATGTGCATATACACTATCCTTTGAGCCTCTTCAAAACACGTTTGAGTGGGTTCTTGAATATTCCTGATGATAGTTTCTCTTGTTGAACTGTCAATGTTAATCTGAAAAGTGAAATCGCATGCAGAGCATAAGTAGGTATAATTGAAGATAGAAACCATAATGGAAAGGTTTCATTTTTCCCCTCCCCCCCTTTTTTTTTACTGGAAAAAGGTAATTTTTTCTGAAATTCTGTAGATATCCAAAAAAACTTTTAAGAGACAAACTTTGCTTTTTTTAAAACCAAACATCCACCTTCCTATCCCAGGTTAAAAAACAAAACAAAACAGAAAACACACAGCCCAAGACCAAAGAATCTTGGAAACCATTGCTTACTTAGATGCACTGGTTTGTTAATGGAGTCTACAAACAAGGAAGTTTATGAGATGAAGGTCTCTTTTAAGGAAAAGGGAAGTTGGTGCTATTTTAAAGTTTATCTTTCTTAGTAGTCATGAATGTTGGTTTCAATGAATATGCCCTGAAATGGGAAGAGAGTGAAGAGAAGTGGAGAAATAAAGGAGAGAAGTGGTTATTTCAATAAACCAAGTATTTTCCGGATAAGAGTTTTGAGGAACAAGTCAATAATGTAGGACTGTCCTGTGAGATGGGAATCTCATATATCATTGTCCACCATTATCCCTTGACAAGAATTTTCATTCCTTATTATCTCTCTACCAGGAGGGGTCCCAATGTTTCATGCCCTCATGACTCTCTATTTTCTTGAGGCCGTTGTAAATGATTGGCAGAAATATCAGTGGGAATGTTTGCTGATTGGCTGGTTTGGAACTGAGGTGAGCAGTGAGTTTGGTGTGGAGGCACAGACTTTTCCCAAACCACTGGGGTATTCAACATACCAGTGTATGGTATCTATAGTTCCTTCCAGCAAAGTCGATTCTTCTTTACAAGGACTTCTTCTCCTTTTCTCTCTCTCTATCTCTTTTTAAAGAAACTCTCCCAGGAATTAGGATAATTTAGTGAGAAGAAGATCTGGGGCCAGACAGGCTTAACTTTGAATCCTAACTCTCTCATTTATCTGCTCTGTGACACCGAAGAAGCTAATTAACTTCTCAGATTCTCAGGCTTCTTATCTGTAAAATAAGGTCAACAATATTGAGTTTGTAGCATAGTAGGAGATACTGGATATGAAGTGCCTGGTACATGTGTGTGCTTGAGAGATCTTAGCGCCCTCCCCGGGATGTACTGATTTCCATTAGCCGTCACTGTCATGTAGTTACCTCTCTAGGGGACTGTGGCTGGATGTAAATCTTATAAAGTTTTTTTGCCCTAGAAATTCTGCTCCACCGTGAGGCAGTTTTCTTATAGGTTTCACAGGCCATCCAGAATTTAATATTCTCATCACTGTGCTCCATTTTTAAGTATGCTGTATAGACTACTGGACCATCTAAAAGTAATGGAGAAATCAGTTTATTTTCATGGATCAAAATCATTAGAAAATCTGAACAATATTTAATGCAGGTTAAAACCAAAGTCTAAATCAAAGCTTCCAAATTATTAAACAAGTGAATATTATATAATGATACACACACACACACACACACACACACACACACACAGACACACACCACATCACACTTACATCCAAAGCATATTTTGACAATGTTAGTCAGTAGTGGGGTCATCGCTTCATTCCTTTCTTCTGAGTCATTCAGAGGAAAATGTTCACTGAAGTGGGTGGGTTTGGGGCAGGAGAGGTCACTGGGACTCAGAAACAGGGCTTAAGTTGGATCAGTAGACAGAGCTCCTTCATGAAACTGACATGAAGATCTAAGTCCTCCCGCCAAACTGGAGGGTCAGAACAAGGTTTAGAATCTCAACAGACAAGTCAAGTTTGAAAGAAAAATATCCAAGTCATGTAGAAGTAATAAAATAATCAGGTTGTACAGCCTGGGGTGTTTCTCAGTATCCAATCAGAGCAGGAGAACATGGATGGAGGAAAAGTTCAACTTTTCATTATGCTTTATGGTTCAAATGAGAAAGGAAGGACCAGATGAAGAATAGAATTCAGGTGCGGTGTTGGAAACTATCTCAAAATAGAGAACAGGACAGTGGGTATGTGCAGCATGACCATCAGATGACTCTTGATGCCAGAGATGATCATCGGTAGTTTTGGTATTAAGCTGTATTTTTGGAGTGGGTAGATAAGGACATACGTGTGAAAGGTGCTTTTCTGACTGAGGCACTATTTTGTAGAAAAGGCTTAGGCAAGCTCTCAGAAATATAACACATTAAAAAAAATCTCTGGGAGGACTAAACATTCTCAATATTGAGGAGGAACACTCTCAGAACTTCTTTTGGTGACTGGGAAGTCTCTTGGCATATCTGAGAAATTGAATTGCTGAATGATGAAACAATGTAACTTTTAATTGATAGTAAATAGAAGTGTGTGTGTAGGCACATTGAATATGTGACCAAGCATAGGATTTTGATTAACAATATTTTATTCAGTATTATTAACTGCCATAAGGAATAATGGTAATGAGATAGAGTACCAATATAAAGTCAAGTTTTCCTAGATCTTCATATTACAGAATAGGCTGAGTTTTCTAGCACTAGAAAGCCATAACTTCTTGGCTTCTACTGGCTCTGTCAGCAGTGATACAAAAATAAAGATAGCAATTAAGATATTTTTATTCAAGAAAAAAACTCAAAAAGAGACAGATCCCCTCTTCAATTTGCAAGAAATGTGCCTTTGTGGGAACACACAAAATTAGAGAATGTCTCATGAATATCATGAAAGTCTAATCTTCATGACATTTGGTAGGAAATGGTTTGAAAGGAACAACAGTTGAGTTGAGAGGACAGATGAGATGGGGATGGAACATGTATAAAAATGTAACATAGGAAATGATATGGATTAGATATTTCTACCCAATGGGGGAGTACATTTTATCTTAGATTTCAAACAAGAAGTTTCTTTTCACCACCAAGCAACTTTAAGATGTGCCTTGCCTCATCACAGGCACAGAAAGCTAAGGTCAGAGACAAAGACTGTAGCAAGCGGAGCTCGTCTTAGAGAAATAGCTGAATGGGAAGGCAAACCAAAAACAAAACAAAACAAAACCATAAAAAACAAATCAAAACAGAAAGCCATTTCTAGCTTAATAAGTAAAGCTGGAAGACAATAATTTGCAGTGTGTGTGGAAAGAAATGGAGTTCTAGTTAAGAAAATAAAAAGCAATTCTACATACTTTGTACTTAGTGGAATTTTGACAGCGCTTCATGAGGAACAGAATTGGAGAGTCCTAAAAGAAAGAAGTGATCTATGGAACAGGGTAAAAAATGAGATACCAGATAAAATCTATAGATCCTGGAATGAGTGTCAGCTACCAGGTTACTTGGATGGCTTGAGTGGAAGGGTGGGTCGGGGGGGAAGGTGATGACTTGGAAACCAATATTAGATTCTATGTTATAGAATTCTGAATTTGTGTTTATACTTGTTTAGTTTAATTGCATAGTAAAATCTTTAGAGATTGTCATTTCAGAACCTGTCTGCATCTGTGTCAGCCTTCTCTAACTTCTCTCCTGATTGAGTGGAGGAAGGGTTTTGTGGGGGCTGGCAAAATGGTTCAACAGTTTTCAATATACCCAGGGCCTTTGCTCATGAAACCATCCATGCATTGCTGTTGAATTTTATATAGATACTTGATATGATAGACTGTAGTATTGATCTTAGTTACTTCCTGCCCTTCTTATAGGAGGATGACATTTTATGTCCTACTTATATCAGCCTTGCTTATTGGACTTATTTTAGCCAATGAAATACATGCAATGTGCCATGGACAGCTGGAAGAAGAAGATTTTAAGCAGAAAGTTTAAGCAGGTGGTCTGACATTGCACTTCCAACTGGTCTTGCAAAGGACACATTCTGGAAAACAACCTTTTGTCTGAAGGTCAGAATGAAGATATGGAATAGAGCTGGAGCTGAACCCGGTCACTGTATGACATGAAAAAGAAATGAACCTTTCTTGTAAATTAGTAGGATTTGAATATGGTCTTTTACCTGACCTGGACCTGAAAGCTGACATGGATCACTTGAACCTCTCTGATATTTCAGAGAAGATTCTGGTGCCTGGAATCAGTAGACTCACATGGCTGGTATGTTTTATAGAATTTTTATAACTTAAGCAGCTGAAGATGCATTTGTATAAAAGTGTTCCAGGAATCTGAGTAATTATTAAAGTTGGAACTGATTTGCTCAATTGAGAATATCTACTGACTCAGACAACAAATGAATTTAAAGGTGGAAAAGCTTTTTCCAAATCGGGCAGTGTGGCCCAAAGGAGCCCGTTCTGAAGTTGTAAATGCTACTCCTTCCTGAGCATTATACTCCAGAGACCGTGATTCTGCTTGAGCAGAGTGAATAAGGAGAAACAACTAGAATTGCTCATTAAATGGAGAAGATGGAAAAAATAGGTTTATGTCATATATAATGTGTGTTTTTTTCTTAAGAATGCGAGTGATGCTTTTGGGAGTCTCTAGCATGTTCTTTTTAAGCTAGTCACTAAAATTAGTATTTCTATGACATACAAGGTAACACATGTCAGTATTTTGATGCAGAAGGAAAACGTGACATTCCTCCTGGCTGAGTCAGAACAGTGGCCCATCTGTTGCAGGATTGTTTTCCGAAAGGGGAAAAAGCTTACACCACAAATTAAATCCTAACATTTTGCTATGTTGCAGTCTTTCATCAGAAATGCACCTAAAACAATTTTAAATTTATTTTATTTTCAATCTGTACCACTTGGGATAATAAATTCCATAATTGTACTAGACTCTATGTAAAGTTTTTAAAGTAAACCTGCTTTATTGAGATTCTCTAGTTTGGCTACTATGATATTAATCATTTATGATTTTTCTCTTAACTTCTTTTTGCTGTGTTATTATAAAAGTAACTTAAAGTACTATGAATTGTTTTTAAACACAGAAAACTTCTAATAAAGATAATAATGATTATTGACAATTTGATATATTTCCCTTTGTTTTTTCAGCGCTTTGTTAATCTTTAACTTTCTATCTAATTAGTATTCATTCATTGATACAAACACAGATATACATATAAACTACTGGCATTATGCTGTGAAAGCAATTTTGTGTCATGGAGAAATCAGTTTATTTTCATGTTTAATATGTAAACATATTTATTATTTCATATTTAATATGTAGGAACACTTTCTTCTTTTGATTTTTTTTTAAAGATTTTATTTATTTATTTGACAGAGAGAGATCACAAGTAGGCAGAGAGGCAGGCAAAGAGAGAGGAAGGGAAGCAGGCTCCCTGCTGAGCAGAGAGCCCGATGCGGGGCTCGATCCCAGGACCCTGAGATCATGACCTGAGCCGAAGGTAGCGGCTTAACCCACTGAGCCACCCAGGCGCCCCTCTTCTTTTGATTTTTAAGGGTCACATACTAGTCTATTGCAAGGCGACCCTATTTTATATTTAGCTACCCTGCCGTTATTGAATATCTATGTTGTTTCCCACTTTTATGTTGTAAATTATCCTACATTGAATGTTTGGTGTATAAATCTTTGCATCTGTAATATTTTCTTAGAATTAAAGGGTGGAATTCCTAGGTTGACAGATACCGTATTTTTGGAGACTCTCGATACTTGTTGTAAAATTGCTTTCAGAAAGATTTCATTATTTTTCATTACTAACATTAGTGTCAAAATGTGTGCTTACTCCACCCTTTCCAGTCTGATGGGGATAAAACCAGTGACTTGCAATTGTTTTAGATTTTTAATATATTAATGCTGAAACATTTTTTCTTTCTTACTGACCATATCTTTTCTTTCTGTGAATTTCAAATCATCTGACAATTTTTTTTACATTATTAGTGTTTTCTGGAATTTTTTCAGATCTTTACATATGAGAGACACTGTTATATTCATTGCATTATCTTCTGTTCTCTTTTTACATAGTATTTTTATGATTTTTGAGAAAAGAATGTAAACCATCTAATCTGAAAATAAATCTCAGTTTGTCTATCTGACCTGCTTTCAATCTCTTTTGCACTTTTGTCAGAGAAAAAAATCTCTATAGCAAAAATCTGGCCACAACCCTTTATTAATAACCTTTCAACTTTTTCCCATTATTGCCCTCATAAAAAAAGCCAGACCTTGGCAGTGGCTACAGGGCCCATGAAGATACAGTGTTCTCTACATCTCTACCTCTTTCTTTGTCACTTCTGGAAACATTCTTGGTTTGAGTGTTGCTCCTGGCCAAGCCGTGTACCACCCCCATGCTGTTGTACAGGCAGTTCCTTCTGTGAGGTGGGCTTTGTACTCTGATCTAAGACTCATGTGGAGCATCTCAGTTTCTGGAAAAATTTCTAACACTCCCCTCCCCCAACTAAGTAAGTGTTTCCCATCTGTTGACAAATA